ATGTATGAGTTTGTAAAACGAAATTCTACGCAATTTGAAGATCCCTACACGAAACTAAGCCTAATTTCAACGTTTATTAGGTGCAGATTGGAATATGCTTCGCTTGTCTGGAATCAGATCGGTACTACACACATCAATGGGATTGAGCGTGTTCAAAAACCTTTTGCCCATCTTTCTTTACATTTTAATGACCCGGTCCCCTCTTACCCTGCGAAATAACAGCTTTTTCTCTACAAAACCGTAGAAAGACTAGCGCAAAATCCTTTATTTGTGACCTTCTGTCCTCCAAAATAGACTGTCCTGTATTGCTGAGCAGCATACGTTTTTCCGTGCCTGGTAGATCTTTAAGGACATTTGAACCTTTTTTTATGCCGGCCTATAGAGCAAATTATTCATTTAATGAGCCTCTGCTTAGAGTCTTATATTACTTGAACAAACTTCCATCTCACATGCGGCTGGACCCATGCTCCCTCAGAGACTAAATTAATAAAACCCTCCACAATTACCTTTCGTCCCTTAGTATTTAGTTTATTAGTAGTTAAGTAGTCAGTAATAGTATACTAAATGCTCATAGGCCACCACCAAAAACACTGTCGAGCAGCTCAATAGGAACAAACTTCCATTTAGGAGTACACGGCGCACAGTGCGCGTCGTACCAACATGGTTTTAATATGACCTTAAGTTAACAAGTTAAGTTATTTATCTGAGTAACGGGTATATGATAGTCAAGGCTTACGACTAAAGCGTTCTTTCTTCTCGAGTGCCTCGATAAAAGCGATCTTTTTTGTTTTTGTAAAAATTTCACATCGATATCACTAGTTAACAAAAAATTATATTAAATTTGCCCCAAGAAGGATGATGGTAGTTCCTAGTAGAGCTCGGGGTCCCCCGAGAAAACCAAAAAAATTACTAAAAAATTTAACAATATTCTTTTTTTAAAGATTTTTTTAAGAATATTTTTTCTTGAATTGCGTCAAACCAGTTTAAGTAACAAGAGTTTTTGCTGCATTGCTGCATTGAGAATATTGTGAGCTAGAATTAAGCAAAGTTTGAACATGTGACATTTTTTAACAGTTATTGATTGTAAGTCATTTGTTGATAATGTAAAAACTCGAAAAAATGCGACAAAAAAAGAAATTTACCATGTAAAAGTAGCCATCAAAACGAACCAAACCAGCCATATTTGGACCAAGTCCATGGTAAAATATATTTAATTTTATTTATTACAGCGTTGCATTGTGGGCTGATTACAGCTATGCTCCTGAAATTTTAATTGGATGGATAGTTGGTGGCAGTAGAGGGCTAAGCGGATCTGCATGAGTTACGGTATGCAACGTAATTTAAGAAGCATCAACCATTGACCAACTGGTCAACCATTTTTTGAAACTAGTGGAATGTAAGGTGAAGAACAACATTCTTCATTTCATTCATTCTATGCCCATTCAGTCTCCGTTCAAGCGGAAGGTCGAAAACAAAATATGGGAAATTCTGGTAAAAATAGGGGCCCCCAAGAAAACCAAAAAAAAAACAAGGTAGAACGCTATAGTCTAGTACTTTGACTATCAGATACCCGTTTCTCTAGTAATGGGACCAAAGGGAAATGCGCCACCTACCGGCGGTAGACAGATTTAAGCGTTATGGGCGTTAGAGTGGGCGTGGAAATTTTTTTTGGATCAATCGATAGGTATTGACGACACCAATACATTTCAGTTAAAATTTTTCATCTAGCATCCAAATTGTGGGCGTCACAAGTTTTCGCGGTTTGTGGGCGTTTAAGTGGGCGTGGCAAACTTTTTTTTAGGTCAATCGATAGGTATTGATGAGAACAATACATTTCAGTTAATATTTTTTGTCGAGCATCAAAACTGTAGGAGTTACAGTTTTGGGCGGTTTGTGGGCGTTAGAGTGGGCGTGGCAGTCTACTGAAACAAACTTGCGCTGCGTAAGAAGCTCAGGAATCTGTACGCCAAATTTTAATAGCCTAGCTCTCATAGTTTCCGAGATCTCAGCGTTCATCCGGACAGACAGACGGACAGACGGACAGACGGTCAGACGGACAGACGGACAGACGGACATGGCTAGATCGACTCGGCTAGTGATCCTGATCAAGAATATATATACTTTATGGGGTCGGAAACGCTTCCTTCTGCCTGTTACATACTTTCCGACGAATCTAGTATACCCTTTTACTCTACAAGTAACAGGTATAATGACTAAAAAATTTAAATATATACTGTTTTCTTAAAGATTTTGTTAACAACATTTTTTCTTGAGTTGCGCCAAACCAATTTAGGTAGCATGAGTTTTTGTTTACAACTATATGTCACTCTTTAATTATAGCGAATATATGAATAGGCTGCATTGAGTATATTGTCAGCTAGAATTCGGCAAACTTTGAACAAGTGAAATTTTGTAACAATTTAGTGACCGTAAGGCGTTTGTTGATAAAGTAAAAGCTCGACAAAAATGCGACAAAACACAGACATGTTCTGTTTAAAAGTAGCCATACAAACGAACCAAACAAGCCGTATTTGGAAAAAATTCATGGTAAAAAGAACTTTACTCCTGAAATTTAAATTGGGTTGCTCGGTTCGTTTGGGCAGTAACTGCTTTTGGTAAACACAGCTTACGGATGGGTAATTGTTGGCAGTAGAGGCCTAAGCGGATCTCCATGAGTTAAGGTATGCAACGTAATTTAAGAAGCACCAACCATTGACCAACTTGTCAACCATTTTTGGAAACTAATGGAAAGTAAGATGACTTCACTTTTAACTTTATTTTCGGCATATGTATGCTTAAATATTATTTTTAATTTAATTCTTATATGTTTGCCTAATTAGCTTTAATCGATTACATCAATCACATGATCTTTCATACGTTGATCAAATTTCAAATTTCAAACGCAATTCTGTTGTCGGCTTTACAATGCAAAGCTATGACAATAGCTGCGGCCCTTACAAGCCCAACATTGCATTATTGCACGACTATTTAGAAAATACAATTATGGTAAAAACACACTTTTATGCATAATAATGACGGATCTATAATGTTAGTACTAAAAGTCACTTCAAAAATTGAAGGTGAAAGAGAAACCCTCCCCAGCATTTACCAGTAAATCAAAAATAAAAAAATTATCTTTAGCGAACCCTAGATTTTGCAAAATGAAAGAATTAATCTTGTAACGAACACACTCTATGAGCGTTGTCCACCCTAACACCTCTGTCTACGCTTTGACCGGCCCGCTCAGGGAGATGGGTTTGGGTTTGTGTTAAGATGAAACAAGAGTGTCACAGAACTAACAATAGTAGACAGAGAGACGGTAGCGATAAGGATTTTATCCCAACGGCTAAGATTCGAACGAGAGACTGTACCTATCGAAGACGGAGGCCCAGATGTTATTGGCCACCTTCTATACCCACCCTACCTGTGAAGTCTCATTAGACTCCACCCTTAAAACAACCGCTGCGCTACATCCTCTAAGGTGCTCTCAAAAGATCACAAATTAATTCATCTTAAATTCCATTTAATACGGCAAATACGATAATATGGTTCATGTTTCTTAATACTACAAATCGTAACACTAAAAACTTAAAGCTAAGCGTTCTTTACGCCAAACAACTCTCTATATGATCGTGTGTCAGTACAAGATTATCAAATATGAAAAGAAATGGATATTTAGTTTACGTTAAATTATTACGAAACTGATTACATATTTTATCGATATGCGGCAAACTTATTCAAAAATTACAGAAAAGCACTTAGGCGGATTACGTTAAGTTATATAAGGGCAAACGATTCTTATTTAATATTTATCAACATACGAATGTGGAAAAATTTACATGTATATATTTGTACTAAAAGTGTGCGGGCTTAGACAAGAATGAACATATATATATGTAGGAACTAAGTCAGCAGGCCTGATGACGATCGATGTGCGCTGTAGAATAGTTTAATTTAGGTGTCATACTATGTCGTAAGCACACACGAAAGTATAATGGCTAAATAGGAATCGTAAATTAAATTAGAAACTTGTCGTACAAATATTTAGAATAAGAAAATTAAACTACAATCGCTTTAGCAAAACAAAAACGAGTTGGCAGTCCCGGCCAAAATTAACTGGAAGCCCGAATTGGAATTCAAATTCCAATTGGGATTCGGCATCTGCCTCCGCTGTCTTGCCCGAATTACGCCGAATCGGCTCCGGTGCGATTTTCGCCCGACCTGCAACGTGATCCGACTTGTAGATCGTGGTGCGGGCTTGGCAAGGTCAAAACCTCACGCGGGTTGACGGCGGCGATTCTTAAAGCCGCTTATGATTCGACGATGATGAAATTTATCCATTTGTGTCAAAGATAAAAGATTCCTTTCACGCGGTGTGGGGTTTGAGAATCTCAAATGGCGATTATGGCCTGGCGCTGAAGAAATGTATGGTTCCGCTAATGAACCGCTGCACGCATCTGCTCCTTGCTGTGCGCAGAGGGAGGACTGTAAAACTTCCGTCAATTCCGAGAGTTCGCACGCGTCTCTGGTCACTGCTGTTTTCCGGGAATTGCGATAAGATTCTTTCAATATATCGTCGAATTATCTTACCACCAATATTGGGAGGGATAACAGGTCGTCCTGCTCAACCAAAATTCCAAGAATTTCACACGCGGATGTGTGGATGCGGACGGGTTTGAAAACTATAGCACTTTTTGCAGGGAACGAACCGATCTCGTGAGAAGCTTGCGATAAAGAGGAGGAAATCATGGCGTCTAGAGTGGATGTAGGATGCACAAAATCCCCAAAATCCATAAAAATGGTATTTTTGGTATTCGAACGAGGATCGGATCCTTGCTACTGAAGGGTTGCATCTGGGCTATTTATGTTAATTACCATGGGTAATGTCTTAACTAGGAATGCCAACTTAGCCGAAAATACTAACTCCCACAATCTCCATCCGCTTAATTTATCATCTTAATCGAAAATAAAAACATCTTAATTCTAAATTGTATTTAAAGGGCAAAACTACTTCATGACGCCTGGAATTTAGCTTATGCTGGTGAATTAAACTTTGCAACTGCTCTTAATATGACTTTATTCTTAAGAAACGAACGAAATCATATTGTATGGAATCCAGTATTTCCATTTCTTGACCTAATTGGCAGACGTCTTGATTTGTCGTCAGCTCATAGAAAATTTGAGGTAAGCATAAAAAATTATATTCGTCAAACATACATTTTTTTTTTTTTTAAGTTGTACATTATAGAACTTTTAGCTCCATTGTATGAGAACTTGGGCGGTGAAAACATTAATGAAGACGTATGGAAAACTGACTTGAGAAAATTGAGTAAAACATTTTTATGCCGTGCGGGCTATATTCCATGTTTGCGGGCTGCACGAAAAGCGTTTAAAATTTGGGTTAACAGTTCTAATCCAAACTTTGAAAATCCGTAAGTAAAATTTTAAACGTAAAACTGATATTTAGGAATTAACATATTTAAATAAATGTATTGTAGAAGAAAGAATTGTTTTTCCGTATTGTTTTTGCAGATATATGCAGATATATGTTCCAAGCCGCATAACAATTATCGTTTTAAAATCTAAAATGATATATTATATAGATCACTGCAAATTATCCAACCCGTAAAACGGTTCCTCTTATGGATTTAAAAAACAATTGTTAAGGGCCTTCCTTGTCTGCTAAGACTCAATGGAATGCGACAGTTTCAGCATAGGCTTTTAATTTAAACAAAAATTAAAGGCTTAGAAGCTTACAAGAAATGCTTCCGGCCAAGGTTCGTTGGATAAGATCTTAACATTAAGAAGTCAGTCTATTTCGTACTGAAGCCGCGATCGATCAAAAAAAATATCGAAAGTAAAAGTGTCTTGATGATCTAAGGTCAATAAAATAAATTGAAAACATATACATTTTTTTTTTAAATCAACGAATAATCATAAAAATAAATTACATAAGCAAAATATAAGTGCATAGTGCCCCTCCCCACGGGAAGATGCTACTATGTTCCAAGCCGACTTTGATTGAAACAAGAACTTGAGGTCTTCTGTAATTTCCTCGGACACAAAGAAAACTGATATCGTTGACTGAAATTCGAAATTCAGAACTAATTAAAAAATGATATTTCCAAGCGTAGGAGGTTATATGTTAAAAAACACCGAGGCTATAATTTGTTTCACATTATGTTCCCACCAATTTTGCGATCGCTCCTATGGCAGCTATATGATATAGTCGTCCGATTTATATGAAATTCAATTGGAAATTTAGAACTAATTAAAAAAAGTTTTTTTCAAGCGTAGGAGGTTATACGTTGAAAAACAGCGGAGCTATAATTTGTTTCGTATTATTTTCCCACCAATATTCCGATCGTTTTTATGGCAGCTATATGATATAGTCGTTTGATTTTGATAAAATTAAATTAAAAAATTCAGAACTAATTAAAAAATGTTGTTTCCAAGCTAAGGAGGTTATATGTTTAAAAACACCAAAGATATAATTTTTTAAAATTTTTTTTCCGATTATTCCTTTGGGAGCTGTAAGATATAGTTTTCCGATCCGGCTGGTTCCGACTTATATATTACATGCAAAAGATATAGGACTTTTGGAAAAGCTTAAGCCCGGTAGCTTTAAAACTAAGAGACTAGAGACTCCGTAGAAACGAACGGACAGACGGACAGACGGACATGGCTAGATCGACTCGGCTAGTGAACCTTATCAAGAATATATATACTGCATGGGGTCGGAAGCGCTTTCTTCTGTCTGTTCTATACTTTCCGACGAATGTAGTATACCCTTTTACTCTACGAGTAACAGGTATAAAAACCCAGATGTTTAAAATGTAAGCTTTCATTTTGATTATATTTTCTCTATCAGTAATATAAGTGTCTTAATACAGTGGTATCGCAAAGTAAAAGGGTATACTAGATTCGTCGGAAAGTATGTACCAGGTAGAAGGAAGCGTTTCCGACCCCATAAAGTATATATATTGTTGAACGTTGGTGCACTAAGAGCAGTTTAAACAAGTGGCCCAAACGACACCAAGCACGTGCTTGTTACGCGCGGGCCCATTTTTATTTCGGGCAAATAAGGTTCACGAGGAAGGTACACAGAACAATTAAAGACAGGACAAAACATAGATCAACAAGACTAAAGCATATGAGCTAAGATTTTAGTTTTTAGTACTGGGATAGAAGTTGAGGAACAAATTAAATGATATAGGTTGTTATAACTATTAGAAAGAACGCGAAAGGGCTCATGCTGACTAAAATTAGATGAACATCGTGGCAAGTTGATAGGATGGTAGTTTCGCATTACCAAATCTACAGAATCAATATCGCCTCTGATAAGATTATTCATAAAAATAGTACCAAGCATAATTCTACGGCTTACTAGAGTAGGCAAATTAATTAATAGCAATCTACTCGAGTAAGAAGGCAACCTGACGTTTTGATCCCTGTTCAAACCACGTAAGGCAAAAAGAAGAAATTGTTTCTGTACGGACTCTATACGGTCAATGTGCACTTGATACTGAGGACTCCAAACGGAAGATCAGTATTCTAAATTAGGTCGGACAAGTGAGGTAAATAATAATTTGGTAGTGTATGGATCATCAAATTCTTTAGACCAACGCTTTATAAACCCAAGAACACTCATAGCTTTATTTACAGTAGAGGTTATGTGTGAGTCAAATTTAAGTTTAGGATCTAGGAGAACACCTAAATCGTTTACTGAGTATATTCGGTCCAAGGACATGTTCTGAAGAGAGTAACTCATGAACGTTGGCGTACCCCTATAAAAAGTCATAACGTTGCATTTAAGATAGTTTAAATTCAAAAGGTTGTACTGATACCATTCCTGGAATCTATTTATGTCTGACTGCAAGCAGAAACCAGATTTAATATTATTATATGAAAAACAAAGCTTAACATCATCAGCATACATTAGTACACGAGAGTGACTTACGATAGAAGGAAGATCATTTATAAACAGAGTAAACAGCAAAGGGCCTAAATGACTGCCCTGAGGCACTCCAGATGTCACGTTGATCATCTTGGAAACAGCGTTTTTGAATAAAACCCTCTGAGATCTACCATTCAAATAACTTGAAATCCAAGTTAACAGATTATTCGGAAACCCAAGCTGATCTAATTTGAATAAAAGAAGAGAGTGGTTAACAGAGTCAAAGGCTTTACTAAAATCTGTATATATAACGTCCGTCTGCAATTTTTTGTTAAATCCATCTAGTACAAAAGATGTCAATTCGAGCAGGTTAGTGGTGGTCGATCTACGCCTAACAAAACCATGTTGACACGGCGATATTAAAGAGGAGCACAAATGTTGCAACTGAGAGGTAATAATTCGTTCAAATGTTTTAGGAGTTGCAGACAATTTGGAGATTCCTCTATAGTTCTGAACATTAACCTTCGCACCCTTTTTGTGGAGTGGAATAATAAAAGAATCTTTCCAGATAGTAGGAAAAACAGAGGATGAGATAGACAACTGAAAAAGTTTAAGAATGGGTTTACAAATAGTTCGGGCACAAAACTTAAGAACACACCCAGGGAGTCCATCTGGCCCCGGAGAATAGGTTGGCGTTATAGTTTCTAAATCACTTAAGAGAGAACTTTCGGTGATTAAAGGAGAAAAAATACGATTTGCCCTGTTTAAGTGATTATGGTAGCTAGAATTAGACCAAGAAACAGAACTATAAGTAGATTGGAAGAATTCAGCAAATAAATCTGCAACTTCGGGATCCGTAGATGCCTCAATAGAGTTTAATCGTACGGGTGATGGCAATGCTGAAGACTTTCGCTTAGCATTCACAAAGTTATAAAATTGCCTCGGATCCTTTGAAAATTCAAATTTACATCGGTTCAAATACATGGAATAGCAATGACTGTTAAGTACATTAAAATTAGTACGAGCCACCACATATCTTGAAAAATCGAATGGCCTACCCGACTTATTGTGCTTTTTATAGAAGTTTGTTTTTAGGTTTCTAAGTCTTTGCAACTGATTGGTAAACCAAGGTGACCTGTCTACCTTAGGAGGAAAACTGTCAGGAACACATTCACAGAAAAAAGTGTTTAGGACACTATAAAATAGTTCCGTAGCACTTTCAATATCCAAGCAATTATATAAATTTGCCCAGTTATATTGTGAAATCAAGTTGTTGAGTTTACTAAAGTCACATTTACGAAAGCATCTACTTTTAGTTGGAGAAACTGAAGGAGAGAGGGTATCAACGCAGGGAAGACAAATTGTAAGTTCTAATGTGGGATGATACTGGTCTTCAGGCACAACTAGTGGGTCAATTCTAGATACAGTGACTTCAGACGGATCTAAAACAAATACAAGATCTAATTGTCTGTTTAGTGAATTACGTATAAAGCTAACTTGCTGTAATGATAATTCTAACAGACCGTCAACGAAGTTATGGTCAGATAAAGGGGTAGAGACAAGTGAGTCAGTGTAAAGGGACCAAGAAATGTCAGGGAGATTGAAATCACCCAAAACAATTAAAAGATCCCTTTCGGAAAGATGAGATAAAACAGTTTTTATTGCAGACAAATGTTGCTCATAAATTATTAAGTCGGATCCAGGTGGAATATGAACAAGTTACATAAATAGAAAAAGATTTCAAAGAAACTTTAACACCAACGAATTCTATATCATTGGGATTAAGAAAGTATATTCTCTCCGATGTTAAAGTAGAGGTAACGGCAACCAGCACCCTACCCCCCTACGAGGAAATCGATCTATACGTATTAAAATTTTTGGACAGAAGAGTCTTCAGAGTCTGATATCTCCGGCTTCAGCCAAGTCTCAGTAAAGGTCAGAATGTCTTCAGAAAAGGCAGAGGAGTCAGCATAAAGCTTAGGTTGCTTCATATTAAGTCCCCTAACATTTTGATAGGCCAGAAATAAACTGCGCAGGTACAGTCGTGGATGGCCTATTATTAGTTCTCCGTCTGTTTGGAACAAATTCTTTAATGACCAATTCATCATTAAGCCAAAAACCTTTAGAATTTAGTACATTAAATTCTTCCGGAGGAGCAGATATTTTAAATGAAGATATCATACGAACATATGGAAATTTAAACTCCTCCACTGTGATGTTTTGAGATGGGAATTCCTGTTGTATAAATTCCAAAACATCTGCAGATGTGGTTTCAGGTGTTAAACGAGACACAAATAATTGCTTCCTATATGGAACAACCAAGAGGCTCTTTCTTCCACCACCAGCAATTTGAACATCGTTCGTCTGATTATCGAGACTAGGGACTCCTATAGAGCTAACTTCACCTGTAGGCACCCCTTAGGCTGACTAGCAGAAACAGGGACTCCTCCAGAGCTTTTGATACCTATGGGTACTGCTGTCAGTGAAGCTTTAGGTCCCCCAGACCCAGTAGATGACGACATAGCTGTCGGGTAAAAATATTTGAAGCTACGTTCGGGATTTGGAACTGATGCCTTTACTTGAACAGATTTTGAAGAAGCTGTCTTTTTGCGTTTAGGTGACCCTACTGACATTTTTTTATTATCAAGGTCCACCTTAAACTCTTTAAAATCAGCAACTACGCTCATAAGTTTATTAAAAAGTTTCATAAAACGATCATTGGTCAGCGCAACATAGCCATCAAAATCACGGTCTATTTCAA